CCACCTGGCCTGTCTACCCACCTTCCAAAGACAACAGCCTTCCCAGGCATCAGGCCGTGCCTTCCCCTACACACCCTGACAGTCTTCCAGCCCTCCGCCTGTTCACTTGCTGACTTTTGCTTCCTTCATCTCCCTGGAAGGGAGAGGACCACGTCTCTTTCCACTGTATCCCAGTGCCTGATGCTTTGGGACCTGTTAACAATACACTGTTAATAGTGACTGATTAAGTAATTAAGTGCCTATAAGAAAGGTTTGGTTCTATAGCTCCACTAAGGGCAGTGGACTTGGGAAAGATGAAACCTGGCACCAGGAATAAATGGTTTTAAAAAGTTAGCTAGGTGGGAGGAGGCAGCAAGGATGATGAGCAAATTTTCTTCCTTCCTTCATACACAGGGAGTGCCTGTTGAGTACCTCAGGAAAGAAGTTGCATTTAGTAGCTCACTTTTTGTTGGTGACAGTTCAACTTTGACCATTTTATGTGTCCAAGGAGACAAGTGGTCACTGGGGAGTTGGGGGGATGGGGGAGAGGTGAGCTTCCTGGTATAAACAAGGACACTCTCACCATCCCATCTCCTCTCCTCCTGCTGCTAGGGGGGAAGTAACAGCCCCTAGTCACTTCCTTGTAACAAGGAAGGAACAAGTCCTCCTCCTTGTCTCCTTCTTAAAGATGTTTCTAAGGGAGAAAAGGTGCCCCCACCAAGCCCCATCCCACAGATGTACCACAGCAGCAGAGGATGACACACCCACTCGGATAGACCCAGACCAGGAGCAACCTGCAGTGGTGTCTGGAACAGCTCAGGTTTTACAGACCACTCCTTGCTGGCTCCCCCGGAACAGGTAGCTCTCAGAGCTGTGAAGCTGGACCCCAGTGCCATCAGCCGAGGCACTACACCACTCAAAGATGCCTGTGAATGAAGGCACAGTGCCTCTACCCTGAAACCCCCGCCAGCCTCAAAGCAAACCATCTTTTAATTCTTAAACACCGAGGATTTAATTTATGCTCTACCTCAAATGTCAAGTGCACCTCCCAACACATAGCTTTGAAACCACGTAAGGAGGCCTAACACTTTCCATATGGTGAAGACATGGGCCTTTTAATTGTGCCAACTGGTATCATTCAAGGGTAATTCCCCTGGAATCCAGGATTCAGGCAGCAGCTGGGCCAGTCTCATCACACAGCCCCACCTGGCCCCATGCAGCATGCCTGCACCCTCCTAATCTTCCCCCAATATCAAAATGTGCTAGGTGCCCCTAATCAAATTACTGAAGTGCCTGGCAGCTGCCTTTGATCTACAGGGGGGCTTGCCTGCCCCCAAGCCCCCAGCCTGATTCTGCAAGCAGTTTTGCTATAAAAGAACAAAAGGATCATGGTGCAAGGGGTAAAGGCTGCCCAGAACTTCGCCACACACATCCACATGTGCACCGCCCCCGTCCTCACAGCACGGACATAGGTAGGCTGTCTGCCTACATGCCTGAGCGCAGTGCTCCACCCACCTGCGGCCTGTCATCAGCCAGACCCCGACCACCCAACATCTCCACTGGACCGCCTCTTACTGCCTACTGCCTTCTCTCTTGGAGGTAACTGGGTTTTTGCTTTTAATTCTGCTCAGTACATGGGTCTCAGGCATGTATTTGGCTCAGTCCGCTGTCCTTCGTTCAGTGTTTGTATGGCTCCTGTCATTCATCACATTTCTCCTTTGAGCTTATATTCTCTTGAACCTCGTCAAGCATCCGTGGAAAAGCAAAAGCCCAGACCTTAGCCTGGGTCCCACCAGATGAGCCTGCAGTGGAAGGGTGCAGGGAGAGGAGCACAAACATCAGGATCCCAACATAAAGATCAACTCTCAACCCAGGTCCTACTTTTTTTTTTTTTTTTTTCAAGATTTATCTGTGACAGCTCTGCCCACGGATGAGACTATTCCTGTGCCCATTTTACAGATGTGCTAATTGAGATACACTAAGTTAAAGTGACTGGCCCAGGGTGACAAGCTACTGTGCAGGGCCCGACCTCATTCACGTCTGTATGTAGAGGGTTAGGCTGAGTTTAGTGCCCATGGGGCAACCCTCACACCCAATGACTACACATGCAACTTGGATCCTGTCACAGACTCAGGACACTGGGGGCCTCCTGCTTCTTCCTACTCTGCAACCAGCTCATGTGGCCAACTCATGATGGTAACTGTCTGCGATCCCCTCTCCGGAAATAAGGCAATGCTGGGCTTCACACATACACACACATACACACACACACACACACACACACACACACACACACACACACACTGACTCTAGGAAGGGAAGACAACTCAGGCTACCCCGGCTGTTCGAAACTCTCAGAGGGCTATGAGATTAAGGTAATAGAGGTAATGAGCTTGGCACACACGGGCACTCAGGCAGCAGTTCTCACGGCAGTAATAATGTTGTCAGTTGGATAAGCCAGTAATGTATCCCCAGCCCCTTCAGTGACAGGACAGGTAGAGAAGCAGACACTGAGGCCTTCCCCAAGACAGGCCTGGTACTGGCTACAGGAAACTGCCAGCCCTGGAGGCCAGCAGACTGCTAGAGTCCACACCCATCTACATCCTGATGATATCATGGAAGGACCCTGCCAGGCACCCCTCCCATGCCGGTGGGATTGAGGGAAATGACAGGATTTCAATGTGTTCATCACTGGCCTGTCGAGCACTCTCAATGCCCCCACCATTTCAACATTCATTCTTATATTCCCAACTATGACCACTTGAATTCAGTAGTGTTCCCTGTGTTGACTTTGAACTCACCTACCTCTTTCAACTTTGATTCATCCTAAGTGATATAACATCCATGAAATGGTGTGTTTGATGTCCTAGTTATTTTTCTCTGATTAACAAAGATGGATACCTACAAAGATTAAAGATATTCCCTCTAAAGACCACCTAAATTGTTTCACAGGCCACTACCAGTGCAGCCCCACACTTTGGTTCAGCCTGGCCCTTCCCTAGAGTTGATGTGTGACCCCAGGACTGCAGCCACCGCAGGTTGGAACCCAGGCATCCAGGTCTGTTATTAAAATTGACTCCGAAAGAAGCAGAGGCCTCCCTCCCCCCACTCAACATCTTTGATGGCTGGGCCCACCCTCTAACTGTCCAACACATGTCACACTGATGGCTCTATGCCTCACATCTTCAAAAGGACTTTGAACAAATATTAATGACCCCTCCTTTTCAGAGAGGGGGGTGAGGCAGGAAGGCGAGCGAGCACCATCCATCCCATGCTGTCCTCAGCTGGGGGAAGAAACCAGGCAACAAAATTCCGTGACTTCAGCAAAGCCACAGGCTTAAGCAGGGGCTCCCCCCCCCCCCCGCCCCTTCTTCATTTCCCCCAATGGCAACTTTTACTGGCTTGCATTCCTCTTGCTGGGAACACTACTATTTAATTAAAAACGACAGACTTTTGTTTTCCTCTCCTTTTCCCCACTCCCTCCCATCCTCCCAGCCTGGATGCCAAGGAGACCCACCAAAAACATGCGGGTAACATTTGTTATGGCTTTGAAGATAAAAGTCAATTGAAGCAAGCCCTCGCTGTATTTCAAGTTTCCCCTCTAGCATGGAGTAAAAGCTGCCTGGCAGTTTAGGAAAAAAGAGAGAGAGAGAGGGAGGAAGGGAGGAGAGAGAAAGAGGAAAGAGGCAGCCTAAATAAATGTCATTCTGCAGGAATACTTTATGAAAATAAACAGGCTGAAAAAAAAAAAACTTGATTAATGGAAATCCTCTCTGTTGGCCTGTATTGAGTGCAAATGCATCTGTTCATATGTCTAAATTGGATTGTTTTCATTGGTCCTTAAATAAATAAGTACATCAAAAACTGGGAATGGTGGGGGAAGAAGTTTGTGGTTCTGTTAAAAGGCTCTAAATGCAGCCACCCACCCTGCCCAATTCTGACCTTTCTACTAGGGTAGTAGCTCCAAACCCAGCAAGCTAGCAAACTGGAGGGCCAGGAAAGAAAAAGCCTGAGCCACTTAGTGGAGGGAGCAAGGGAGCTTATCTCAGGGAGAGAGAATATTTAGCGCGCGCGCGCGCACACACACACACACACACACACACACACACACACACACACACACACCACCTCCTTGCAATGGTGCTGCCATGTACCAACACACACACACACACACACACACAAACACACACACATCTGAACACTCCACCAGCCTCACCCAAAGAACAAGACCAAAGAACTAACCAGACCTGAGGCTCAGTCTGTTCCCCCTCTAAGTTTAAAAAAAAAAAAAAAATTAAATGTCACATCAAAAAGTTGATTCATCCTTTGATCCTCGGCTTGCAAGAGTTCCACGCAGACCATCTGAAAGCCCTGTGCAGAGTTCTGGAGCTCACAGGACATCTGTGAACACCAGTCCCAGGCCAGGCGCAGGGGCTGGAGTCACTCACCCCCCCCCCATCCCACTTGCTCCTGCAGAACAACTCCAGCCTCAAGAGGCCCCTGGGTGAAAAAAAGGGTGTACCCCAACCACTAGTTGGAGGCCCTCTCTCTGAGGGCCTCAGTAAGAGGACAGACAGGTCTCAGTGTCTCCAAACTCTACCCTCAGATGGCAGATGGCACTGATGAATGCCACAGACACAGTTGGAGGTGGCCACAGATCCCGGACCAACAGAGCCCTCTATCCAGTCTTGCCTCCCTACCCCTCCCCCCACCCCTCAAACCACAACAAAGCACAGCTTCTCCACCCACTGGACCTGTATCACCTCCTCCCTGGCACTTCCTCCCCAAGCAACCCTCTGTGCCCAGCTGGGCAGGAGATTGGTGCCAGCTTGATTGACAAGAGTCCCCCAAAGCATGGGGCACGGGTAGGGCTGGTGGGGTTCAGTGGCTGAGAAGGGATTTTTTTTGGGGGGGGACGTAGAAAATGTGCCAGCAGGATGCTAAAAGTTGGAGGAGGGGAACACCCAGACCCTCTCCAAGGCTGAAAGGGGTGAAAGGGTGCAAGAGAGTTGGAGCCATACCCGGGTGCCTCGACCAACAGTGCCTGCCAATCTCAGCTGACGGGATCCTGAGACGCTGCCTGGACAGCGCTGCCTCCCGATCCACTCCTCGATGCCTTTCCTTGCCCAAGCAGCACTCACAGCAAAGCTGTCACCTGAGGCGGGAAGAACACAAGACCTGAGTTTGGGCCCCCCAGCTGGCAAAAAGTTACCTGAGACCTGAGAGTGAAGGGAAGGAGACAGGGCGGAACAGCCGGGAGAGTAAAGGCTTAGTCGGAGGGTCAAGCGCCGGACGGAGCAGAATCCAAAAGAGGGTAGTAGCCAAGAAGGTTCGACAAGATCCTAAGGGCAAGGAGGATTCAGGGGGTGAAAGGGAGTACCCTGACTGAAGGAGTTTGGGGTCCAGAGGAAGGAGCGCGGGAGGCAGGAGCTGCAGAGGACGGAGCTTGAGGGTCAGGAGAGAGGGTGCAGTGGAAGCAGAGACCAAGTTCTCCTAAGAAGGGGCTGGCGGCCAGAGGAAGGTGCAAGATCTTGGGGGTCTGAAATGAAGACGCCGCCGAAGTAGAGGGGGTTAGGGTCAGCAGTGGGAGCCCCGGGCTGCGGGGAACGGGTTGGAGGGGCAGAGGGGCCCCAAAGAGCGCTCCGGGGCGGGGCTGGGGCAGCCCTGGTAATGAGATCCAGCGGCTGGGCCGGCCGCGCCGCCTCCCTCGCGCCCCCCGGGCCAGTAGCCCGCGCGCCTACCTTCCGGGCTCTCCCTGCGCTTGCACACGGCGGCTGCGGGCACATCGCGCGCGGCGGCGGCGGCGGCGGCGGGAGCCGGAAAGAAAGGAGAAGGAGAGTTAGCACCGGCGGGAGGACGCGGGGCCGCGGCCGGCGCGCGGGCGGGGACACTGACCCGGCTTCGAGTGAAGTTTCCCCATGCTGGGGCGCGGCGGCGGGGCGTCCTAAGCCATGCGTCTGGCCGCCGACCCCGCGCCAGCCTCGCTCGCCTCCTCACTGTCTGCGCGCCGAGCGCAGCCCCAGGCGGCGCCGGGACGCGCTCCTGCCGCCGTCGCCGCGGCCGGACTGACGCCCGGGCTCTCGGAGCCCCCTGCCCGCCGTCGCGGCCCCGCGCCTCCCCAAGCGCCCATTGGCCGGCAGCGGCCCATCAAAGACGAGGCGGGCGCGGCGGGGCGGGTAGAGGCGGGGCCTGCGGGTAGGCGCCTGCCGAGGGGCGGGCCCACGGGAGGGCGTGGTCTGTGGGCAGGGACAGGGGTGGAGCCTAGATGGGGAGGGGCTTTGGGTGTGCTGGGCCCTAAGCCCCCTGTGCGGACCTGTGGGCGGGAATGGGGACCGGGCGGAGGCTCTGGACGCCGAGCGGTGGAGCAGCGCTGCCCTCGCTGGTGGCACTGAGACTTCCCTCTTCTCTGCATTTCCTCGGAGCCGCTAAAGTGGGACTCGATGGCTCGAGTTCACAGGTGGGGAAACTGAGGTCACGCCTGGCGACCTCAGCTGCCCTGGTGCGCGTGTCTGTCTGCATCTCTCCCACGGCGTTGTCCCTTTCCAGACTTCCAGTGCCCAGTCTTTTGTAGAAAGTGGTGCCTGTTTCCGGCTGCGTGCCCTTTTCTTGGACTCCTCTAGGTTTGGGGTTTTATGTTGTTATTGTTGTCGTTTGTTTTGTTTTGTTCATTTGGAAATCGGATAGAAATCAACACGGCACCTCGCCAGACAGTGCGGGTCCTGCCCACTCCTGTTACCGACAAGTGTCCAGAAGTCCCGAGCTGTCCCCTAGTCTCTCGCAACTCTTCGCCCATGGGCTCACGAGTGCCCAACTGGGGTTGGGGCGAGCTGCCAAGCTGTGAGGCCGGGAGCAGTGAACCGCCGGGCCTTTGATCTTTCTTAGTTTCCGCTCCCCCCACCCCCCTGCAGTTCTCTAGACCCCAAGGGCCTGTTTGTTTTGTCTGGGGACGTCTCTGCAAAGGGGAGGGCGACTAGAAGGCTTTCACCCCACCTTTGTGGTCCTCAGAATGCTGTCTCTGCTGGCCGCACCGGGTGCCCTGCACTAAGCCCATCCTCTTATCTGACAGCCTGGGCGTGGGAAAGAACCAGTTCTGCTCCTACAGCTCGACTCTCTTTGCGAGTCCCAGTTTTATGATCTGTACAATGGAGACGGTTCTAGCCTTTTTTTTTAACCTGCTCTCTGTCTAGCACTACTCAATAGAAGCAGTGAGCCACGTTGGTCATTTTTAGACTTACAAGTAAGCACTTTCGGGAAAGGGAACCAAACCCAAAGCACTGGTCATGCTAGGCACGCAAGCACTCAGTTACTGAGCTATGTCCGCAGCCCTAGGTGCCACAGTGTCTAAGAAGTTAAACAGGTGTGTCATCCAGACGGCTCAGCTGATAAAGGGGCTTGCCACCAAGCCTGACGGATCTGAGTTCCATCCTCAGAGACCACACCGTTTGAAAGGAGAGGCCCATCTGCTGCAAAACTGTCCTCCCACCTCCACGTGAGGGCTGTAGCACTCATATCCCCACATACTACATAAATAGATAAATGTAACTTAAAAAAAAAAAAAAGTGAAATCGGCTTGGCCCCAAACAGCCGAAATAATCTCAATACTTAACAAGTTGTCGCATTCTTTGTTTTGCACTGTCTTTAAGTCTGGTGTGCGGTTTACGCCCGGAACACATCTCAGACACAAGAGCCGCACTGCATGTGGCCTTTGCCTGTGGCTAGTGGCTGCTGTGCTGTGAAGCACAACTCTGAGCATCTGTCTCTCTGTTTCAAAAGGACAAGGCAACCCGGAGCTGCATCAGCCTCCAAAATTCTCCCTCCCATCGCTCTTCACGTTTATACACGTTTATTCGGAGGAAATGAAAGCTAATCTAAGCACATACCTAAATCCTGTGCAGGATGCATTCATCGAAGGCACAGCTGGGACCTTACAAAACAGCAAAATTATGCTGTTGAGTTTGTGGGGTTGGTTGGTTGGTTTTGAGTCAAGGACACACACTGTAGCCCAGGTTAGCCTGGGACTCCCCAGGTAGCTCAGGCTGGTCTTGGAATTACAGCAATCCTCTTGTGCTGGCCTCCTGCATAGTGGGATTGCAGGTGTGAGCCACCACCCTCGGCCAGTTGTCAGTCGTCTATGCCACACCTTCAGTATCTGTAGCATTTCTGTGCCTACTGCCCCCACAAGTCACTCTTGATGCCTGCTTTTGTACTTGTAGAAAGGATAGGCCTTGTAAGGGAGGCTCATGAAAGTGGGGTTACTCCTCCACACACACACCAAGGAGTTACCCCTCACACAGCTGATTAGTGACCTAGTTAAGAATCAGCCTCAAACTGATCCTTTGCTGGCACTCATTTTCACAACCCCGGGTTTCCAGCACATCCCAAGCATAACCTCTGGAAAGGAAGAGTATGTGCCAGCTGTGTGGTAAGCACTGTTCTAGCACATCAAATATGTATCTGAACAAATGGACAGTGCCACTTTCACAGGCTTGCCCCCATGTCTCCTGGTGGAAGACAGACACAAAATGGTACCCATGAAGAACAGCACACAGTGAGGAGGGTAGAAAGCAGCTTACATCCAGGAAAGGGTTAATATCGTCCAAGACAGCCAGGGAGGTTGCTAAGCACCTACTGTGCCAGGACACCCCCAGAATCACCTGGCCCAGGTGCTTAGGCTGAGCTGTAGAACAGCTGAGCTGTGAGGAAATAGAAGGGAAGACCCAGGGACCAGAAGAGAGTGGCCCAGGTCAGGGGCCTGAGCTGACAAGGAACATCTCGCAGCAATCCTGCTAAGGAAGTCAAGTTCCTGTGGGGTCCCTGCTTGTCTTTCTCACCCACACCCACACCAGTGCTAGGGGCTTCGAAATCAAAGCAAAACTCTTCCTCGCAGAGCTTAGAACGTTGGTTACTTCCTTAAACCTGTCATGGCTTTCTTCTTTCATGAGAAAACAGTATCCCCTCTGCCCCTTGGGAATGTCTCTTTGCAGTTCAAAAAGAGATAAAAGCAAGGACTAAAACTCTGTAGTTACCAGCCTGAGTTTTAAGGGAAGTAAATCCCAAGTGTCTGGCTAGACACAGAGGCCCCACCGGGCGCCTGGACCCTCACCACCGCTACATACCTCTGACCTTGACATGAGAAGCCAGAGGGTGGGCCAGGTGGGGACGCGGTCACCTGTCCAGGATTCAGAGGATGAACTCCTAGCAGCCACCAGGGCCCCATCTACCTAGAGTGGCTCTTTGCCCTCTGCGGGCTCCCCACCCCACCACTTGCTGTCTTGTTCTGTTTTAATAATTTATCTGGCCCATTTTCTTGGGCTGTATACTTACAGTGACACATCTCTTTCTTTGAAGATTTCCCATCCTTTGGGGGAGGAGAACAGGAGAGGAAGGCCATGAAGAGATAAGAGAAAGAGGTTAGAAGCTCCGCCTGCACAGGGCTGCAGATTTCCTCAGACTGATGTGGGGAAATCGGTGAGATGAAGGGCTAGGAGATTTTTTTTTTTTTTCAAAAGCCCCATCACCCTGGTTGGCTGCCCATTTCCCAAGTTAAGCTGTCTTATCTGGATCCTGTCAAACACCATTTCCTAGGGTAGAAACCCTCCTTGGCCTTCCATACTCAAGGCTTACTCTCTAAACAGCTCAGCACGTACCCCTCTGCATCCAGCTGGTACTCCTTCATTTTTCATATGGAGCTGCCTTCCCTCCTGAGTCTCCTTGAGGGAAGGGCTCTCACTGCCTTACATCTCCTGGTGTAGTCCCTAACCCAGCTCCATTCACAATGTGGAGCCTAAGCCCTGGATTGAGTTGCAGTCCATAAGAAGTAGAGATATAATCTGGAGACAGGCATAACGGCTCAGGTTTGAAATTCCAGCACTCAGGAGGCTAAGCTAAGGCAGGGGCATTGTGAGTTGGGGACCAGCCTGGGCTACAAAATGAGACTATGAGCAGGAGAAGCAGCTCCCTCTCTTTTCTTGCAAGCCCCTGCCTTTGCTGCATTTCTGTGTTTCCTGGGCAGCTAGGACTGCTGGGGCCTGGAGACGTGCTTGTGAAGGGGTATAACCCAGGAGGAAGCATGGATGTCTCAAGAGCAACAGAGGTTGAAACACGAGTGGTATGTGGAGGTTGAAAAGGAACACATGCAGGAAAGTGAAGAAGCAGCCTGACAGGTCTAGAGTGCAGTTGGCATCTGTCACTTCCTTGAACCTATGCTGTAGCCTCTCTCCACTGCGCTCAACTCTGGGTGAACCCTCACCACATCCCTGAGCCAGTGACACAGCTCATCCGTGGGGCACTATCACAGGTATCATCCAGGGAGCCAGATAGCTAGAGGAAGGATTGGGAGAGAGGCGGCCAGGAACTACACTGCCCCAGCAATTGGCTCTGGGAAATACAATGGGAGAAAATGGGTTCCCCAGAACAAGCACAGGTTCCCTCTGTATTTGGACTTTAAAAGAAAGAGGCCGAAAGGCAGGTACTCATCTCCTCCAAATGCTAGCTGAATTAAACATTTGTGGCAGGAACTCGTCCTGGTCTAGAATGTTGCCCCAAGCCAAGATAACAAGCATCGCTGACCCTCTGAGAAGCTCTCCAGTCATTCTTTTCCAAGACGGAGAATGTTGCTGGGTTTGTTCACTTTCCATTAAATGCAACCAGCACAGGCTTGATCCCCAACCCCTGTCTCCCTGTCCATAACCTGGAAGGAAAGACAAGGAAGATCAGCAGCTCTCTTGTGTTCATTCAATGTCCATGTGGTACATGCGTGTGGCAAGGGATGTGCGTGTGTACCTGCGGGGGACAGTAATCAATGTGGGTGTCTTCCACACTCACTCTCCACTCTGTTTGGGACCAGGGTCCCTCAGTGAAGCTGAAGCTCACCAATTCTGCTAGACTACTTACTGTGTGGTCGGCCAGTCCCAGGGACCAACCTGTCTCCACCTCCGCGTTGGGGCTACAAGAGTGCATGCCTTTGCACCTTATTTTTTTTTTCCTAAACATAGTTGCTGGGGATAGAATGGGTCCCATTCTCGTATAGGAAGCACTTTA